GCCCCCTGGTGGGCTGAGCTGGCCACACACACACACACACACACACACACACACACACACAAATAAATAAATAAAATTAAAAATAAAAAAAAATCAAATGTTTAAAAAAAAAAAAAAAGAAATTAACTGCTGATTACCAAGCTACTGGGAATTGAGGTCCTTTCACAGGATGCACACCAATCATCACACTAACCACACTGGTTATCAAATTTACTTTTTTTTTCTTAAGAGAAAAACTCTCAGTGAAAGGCAGTTTACATTGGGACACATGCTCCTTCTCTTATCATAAACTTAACTTCAAAAAGCACTGCTCCAGGGATCTCCTGGTCCAACATTCCTTTTATGAACAAAATGTTTAAAGAGCACCAGGAGGAAAATGATGTGATAGTCATTGGGACAGAGCAGGACCTAAACGCAGGTTTCCTACCATTGAGTTTAAGCTCCTTCTACTGTGTTGACACCTGAATTTATAACAAAACTGAAATAAACATTCTGAAAAACTTACCTAAGTTCCCAAGTATAAGTGGTATTAATGAACACAGATTTTTTTATGCATTTGGTACAGGGTCTCACTATGCAGACTGGACTAGCTATCCTGTTTTCAGCCTCCACAGTGCTGGGATTACAGGCTTGTGCCAGCACGCCCACCAGATCACAGTGGCAGGCTCAGCATACCAAGGGGGTGGGGCCGATGCGGCATGTAGTGCTGGGGATTGAACCAGGGTCCCTATGCTTAACAAGCAGATGCTCAGACCACTGAGCTATCTTTTTTTTTTTTTAAATTTTATTTATTTATTTATTTATGTGTGTGTGTGTGTGTGTGTGTGTGTGTGTGTGTGTGTGTGGCCAGCTCAGCCCACCAGGGGGTGGGGCTGGCTGGCATGTGGTGCTGGGGGATTGAACCGCGCGGTCCCTGTGCTTTGCTAAGCTTGTTCTAAGTAGGTGCTTTAGACCACTGAGCCATCTCTCCAGCCCTGCTAAGCTTGTTCTAAGTAGGTGCTTTAGACCACTGAGCCATCTCACCAACCCCAAAACCCTGGTTTTTTGTTTGGGTTTTTTTTTGCAGAACCAGGGATTGAACTCAGGCCCTTGCACTTGCCAGGCAAGTGCTTATTCTATTGAGCCATCTCCCCAGCTCCTCACTGAGCTATCTTGCTGGCCCCGAATTTATTTTTTGTTATGTGTTTTTAAAAATGTGTTTCAAAACAAAGTAAAAATAAAGAAATTCTCACATAATTCTCCTCTTAACCATAGTAGGTTATTTGGGACATGACATACCAAATAAAATGTTTGCTTGTCTGACAAATTCTTGGGCGTCAGTGTGTATACAGAATTCTAACTACATCGGACCTCAGCAATTCCCTATTGCATGCTTGTTCAAATGTTATCTTCCTCTATTCCTTCTTATAGATACTAGAACTTTAGAGTAGACAGTGAAAATTTACCCATGCTAAAAAGTCTACTAGTCGCTATATCTAGTTAAAATTACATAAAGCTTTGCAGTTCACACATATGATGTAATACTCACTGATTTCAGCAACCGGATTTCATCTAGTGCTGTTTCAGTATAGTGTTCAGCACTTTTAACTACTTTCATTGCCACAAACTTCTTTCCCCTAAGAAATAAAGACAGGTAATTAGGACTAAATGCCCTACCCATACCTGGGAAGCTAAGAATTGGTTATAGAAATATATGGTATTGATTTCATGTTTTCCAGTTGCCACACTTTCTATGCAATCACTTTTAACTGTTAACTGGCCAGATTTCATTCACAGGAAGAAAATAATCTGCTTTCAGATAATCTCAGTCACTGAAAAATTTCCCTAAATTAAAATCTATCTTTTGAACTAGGAAGGTAGCTCAATGGTAGACCGCTTGCCTAGAATGTGCAAGGTCCTGGATTTGCTTCCCAGCACCACACAATAAAACACTACCTTCTGAGTATCTCCTGGAGTAGGATCTATTGGGAGAGTATTTCCCAAGAAATGGGGATACAGGACCAGAGAGATACTAGAGGCATAAGTGCCTGTCTGGGAAGTGCACCATCTTGAGTCCCAACCCCAGCACAAAGGAAAAAAAAAAGAACAAGAAATGGGGACAAGTAAGGGAAAACACACCATTAAATCAGAGTTATCCTTTATATGTCTGTATAGTAAAAGACACAGGTTAAAAGCTACTTTATTCTATAAGTCTGATGACCTACTTGGGGGAAAGAAAAAAAAAAGGCACAAAAATCAAATGAGAATACATGATGTGCGTAGATAGCAATTACTGTTTCATCAAAGACAGATGATGCATATTTAGGTAAATACTCAATATTAAAGAGGTATTTTAATTGCCTGTAATTTTTACATAGAGAAAATTTTAGACTGCATGGCTGAGCAAATCTGTTATAAAAATACTTTTACACTGGCCTAACATCTAAAAATTCAACTCTACTTTCAGTAAGAAGATGAGTATTAATTTGTATAACACTGAACATGAGTAAAGCTTTGAATTTGGAAGTTTTAGGTATTTTATTCATACTAATTTAATCAATGTTTTACCTCTAAGGTTTCTAAAATGGAGAGGCAGATATATATCTACACATATACTATATATATATATAAATTTTTTTTTTCATATACCTGATTTTCATGACAAGGAATTTGTCCAAGCACATACGGATTTTTTTTTTTTTTTTTTAATTTATGTATTTGGTACAGGGTCTCACTATGCAGCTTGGGCTCATAGTGATCCTGTCTTCAGCCTCCCCAACACTGGGATTACAGGTGTGCACAACCTTGCCTGGTCTCGGCAGCATGGCATGTGGTGCCGGGGGCTGAACCCTGGTCCCTGCATTTGCTAAGCAGGCGCTTAGTCTGCTAAGCTATCTCACCAGCTCAAGGATCACTTTCAATAACAAAATTCTAACCAAGATATTAGTTTAAAGAAAAATCAGACTAAAATATGGAGGCATCATCTAATTAATTCTTTCACAAGGCTACTAAAATTTGCTGTCACCTGCCACAAGAAGTGTGCCCACACCAACCACCTGCATCCCAAGGAAGAGGTAAGTAAAGCTCAGTCAGCTCCTCATCCAGAGTCCCTGCCCAACTCCTGCAGCCTCAGGGCCTGAGCAAAGTTTCCCTCCCTTGACTGGGGAGGGGGGGGACGACAATGACTACTAAACAGTTTTTTTTAAAAACTTACTGAATATCCCATGATAGCCACACTGTTGAAAAGTGCCCCCAGCCCAACTTTCGGATCACATGGTATCTGCCATTGAACAGATCACCAATTTTTACAAGATGATAACCTCCTGGAAGAAAACAAGAGGAAAAATATAATCGGAGCCAGCAGTATAAGACACAATCACTTCATCAGCAAGGAAAGGGATCCCATTTATCAATATCCACATACCCTTTGTCAAGTAAAAGGTTTACTGTACGAAATTAATTCAATAGAAGAAAATTTTAACAAAATCAGCCAGTGTTACTGAATTGATGTTACAAAAAATAATCTGAGTAAGATTATAAATTGAGCAAGTGATGTTTGTTAGAACCCCATCCTCAAACCAAACTAAATTTACCTATCACAACAACCTTGCCTCCAAAACTGTAATAGATTTCTCTAAACATATGAATCTACTTCTAGCTGCACTTTTAGGATATTTTCTAGGAGAAATAAACTTTTATTTAGCTGAAAAAAGAAATAGGAGGATTTTTTTTCCTCTAAATAAAAACCAGGAAGGCCTGACCAGGCTGCCCAAACCAGTGGGAATCAAGGTATTTTAATGCTTACCTGGGGTCCTAGTGACCATCTGTAACCTCAGAAATCTGGGAGAGTGAGGTAAGAGATCACCACCTTGAACCCAACCTGGCCAACTAGTGACTTAGCAGGACTCTCTAAAAAAGGGAAAAGAATAGGGGTTGGGAAGCTGAGATGTTGTTCAGTATGAAGGTGTTGGGTTCAATCCCCAATACCTCAAAAAGGAGAGGGAGCAATGAGAAGACATATCTTTTAAAATATCTGTACACAAAAATGCCACAATTGGCTGCTTTTGGGTATAGCACTGCAGGTGGATTTTCTTTTAATATTTCTAAAAAAAAATTGCAAAGTAATTATGTGGTATAATTTCTAAAGAGAAAAAAGTGAACACAATATAAAATTAGACTTGGAAAAGTCAAACTAAGAACAAATATTAGTTCTTGTATTTTAGAGAAAAAGATGCAAAAATCACCAAAACTGTCTTATGCTGAAAGAGCCAATATCCAAATAATAAAACAGCGAACATTTGGCTCCTATCTTACTGGTATTTCCTTCCTTACCTTTACAGTAATCATTGGGATCTTCCTGCTCATCATCATCGGAGCCCAGAATCTCCTCTTCCTGCTCTGGCAGATCACTCTCAGAATGGGGGGCAGAGCCTCGGTGCTGAGTTTCATTTCTAAGAAATAACAAAAATGTGCTCATTTGATATGGACAGGAGAAACAGAGGCTTCAAGAAAACATTAGCAGGGGTGGTGGTGGTGGTGGTGTTTTAACTCAGTGGTCCAGTGCCTGCCCTACAGACGTGAGATCCTGAGTTCAATTCCTGATACCAGAAAAAAAGACAAGGAATGTCCCTGTCATCTCCTCTATCCCATAAATTTTTAATATATACAGAATATTATTAAGCAGCAGCCTAGGAAAAATTAGCTATAGCTTTAACTCACAGTACATGAATGATGACTGAATAAAAACTTGGGAAACATAAAAATACAAAGAGGAAAAAACTGCTTGAACCTTAATATCCAAAAACAGCTGTTGAAGAAACAACTGATTTTCTTATAGAACTCTGTTAATGAAAAATTCTGTAATAACATACTAAATGAGCAAACCTGCTTCTTGCTTCTTCTAGTACAAACTTTACTCCTTTTTTCTATACATCTCTTAAATCTTACCATGTTTCCCTCAGCAGTGGGGGCGAACCTATGACCTGCAAGCTACAGCAGGCTGTCCATATCACCAAGTGCTCTCACAGGGCCGCCATCACTGCTTTCGATATATTAGTTTAATTCTACCACAGTCTACTCAGCTGGGCATTTCAGTTGGTCCTAATTTTTCTGTACTAAAGATGTTTACTATTTTTGGATAATCTTGGGTAACTCTGCATTTAGAATTATTTTCCTAAATTAGACTACTAGACAGGGATCAAAACATTCCTCTATTTGTGAACTGCAGAAAATCTGGAGAATATTTGTTTTAAGGCACCTCTAATCTCCCTCTGGTTAGACTCTGGCCACAATCTATCTCTCTGTCCCAATCCTCAGCACCAGGCTTCACTCTCTCTTGATCCACTCACGTGAGTAGCACACATTTACCAGTAACTTCTGCAGAATGACAGCAGAAGAGATAGATTTAGTAAGACCTCTCACAGCTTCATTTTCCCCCAGTGTATGTATTACATGCATGCCTCATCTAGACATACAAATGGAATCACACAGTATATGGTGTTTTGCTCCGAATGCCTTCAGGGCAGGTTTGGCTGGCTTGAGTTGTGCGGATGAACCACAGCAACCTGAGCCTGACTGCCTGGTTGAAGCAGCCACTTAAAGAACTGAGCTAAGGGGCAGGCCCCCAGTATATGGTGTTTTGGCTTCTTTCATTTAACTTATCGTTTTCAAGGTTCATCCATATTGTTGCATGTATTCTGTTTTATAACTGAAAATTCTGTTATATGGATACATCATAGTTTATCCTTTCATCAGTTGACGGGCTTCGGGATGTCTCCACTCTGCAATTCTAAATTTCCCTAGAGGTAGTATGTATGACCACGTTCACAGCGGTATTCTAATAATAAAAGGCTGGAAACAACTAAATGTCCATTGCCAGAGTGGGTAAGAATATTACAGTATTCTGCTACAATAAAATATTACTCCCCAACAGTGAAAATGAATGAGCTACATGCATCAGCATGAATAAATTTTAAACAAGACTGTTTAAAAATGAGGATTTAACTAGATGTGGTGATGCATACCTGTAATCCCAGCACTTGGGAGGCTGAGGCAGGAGGACTGCTGTGAGTTTGAGACCAGCCTGGGTTACACAATGAGTTCAAGGCTAGCTCGAACTATACAGTGAGACCTTGTCGCCCAAGAAACAAACCAAAAAATTCAGGATGTATTAACTCAGAGAAACTGTAACAGGGAAATGACTAAAAAGGGGCATACCCAAGCTTTCGTGTATTTTCCCTTGCTTTCTTCTTCCCTCCCTTTTCCCCTTTTGCTGGACACCTAGGGTCTTCACAATGAGCTACATCCCTGGCCCTTCCTACTTTGAGACAGGTTCTCACTAAGTTACTAAGTTGCACAGGCTCAGCTTAAACTTGCGATCTTGTTGCCTCAGCCTCCTACCTTAATTTATTTCTTAAATTGGGTAGAAGTGAAAATACAATATTCCTTTTTAGTACATCTCAAATATCTTATTTAAAACATATTGACTATGATTGTGTTCAAGTTTAAGCAGCACTAAACACTTCTGTGGCTTGTTATTTTGCATTACCTGTCCGATGATAGTGATCATATAGTTACTATAAAATACAAATGAGAAAGGATTACAATTTCATTGTTTTAATTCTAAAAACATTTTTACCTGCTTTTTTTTATTTTTTATATGTAGCTGACTTGTTTTATGGGAAATAAGCAGGCCAAATAAATGAAAAATGTAGTTTGGTTAAAAAAATAAGCTTGAGCTAAGCTGATATATTTGCATGTACAATATAACTATTCTTTCCAACAGAGGGGAAAAAAAACCAACCAAAACTACAATGTAAGAACTTGAAATAGTGCTTTGATATGATACAGGGGTATCATGCAATATCTAGGCTTTACATCTTTTTGCTTAGCAGGAAATAAATATTTAAAAAAATCACTTTATTAATATAAATCAAATGAGGGGCTGGTGAGATGGCTCAGTGGTCTAAAGCACCTACTTAGAACAAGCTCAGCAATGCACAGGGACCGCGGTTCAATCCCCCAGCACCACATGCCAGCCAGCCCCGCCCCCTGGTGGGCTGAGCTGGCCACGCACACGCGCGCGCGCACACACACACACAAATAAATAAATAAAATTTTTAAAAAATGAATGTAATTTATAAACTATAGTAGCAGCTAAATAAAATCTGACATATCCTTAAGATAATGCACTATCAATTTCCAAGACACACCAGAAAAATGAAAATGCCAAGCAGCCAATACGCCATGGTTCACTTCTCATTCCTTCCCCAAGGGTGCAAAGCTACCTATATTCCCAGAGTCACAATGCAAGGGGCTTTCGCAGATTCAGTCAAGGATGGGATCAACTGGTGACAGGTTTTCCTGGACAGAATTTCAAGTGTAAGGATATAAGAGAATGTAACACCAGTTTTTATGTTTTGTTGGGTATAATACAATCTTGAATCGCTAGAATCTTTTCCAATGATAACTAGTCATGAAATACATTATTAAAAAACTGACAAAAGGTTTTCAAAACTACAACTCACTCTTGGGTTGGTCAGACTGCAGGGAGACTGGAGTGCTACTTTCAAACTGAACTGCCTAACAGTGTTTCCTTCCAGAAATGCTGAACTAAGCAAGGAGTCCAACCACAGAGGCTTGCACATCTAATCAGATCAACTAGAATTCCCCTGGAGGGAAACACTAGAGGCTGGGAAAAGCTCTGAAATCTTAAGCAATAAGGACAAAAGAATTGCAAGAGGAAATGACAAAGGCCAGGGAAATAGCTCAGTAGAATAAGCACTTGCCTGGCAAGCTCAAGGGCCTGAGTTCAATCCCCAGTTCTGCCAAAAAGAAAAAAAAAAAAAGAGGAAATGACAGCTGATAGTCAGGGGGTCAATGTGACAATGGACTAAAAATTGTAAGAAAATAAAGATACCTGTTGGCTAAGAATAAAAAACTAGGCACATCGAGAGAGATACACTCAGCCCAGCATTACAATGGCTGCCTATCTATTGACTCCTCAATATAGCCTGAGTGTGGATTTGATTACTTAGCAAGAACTGCTCTAAATAAGATACATATATTATTTGGCAGCAATCACAAGTTTGAACTGTCTTACTTCTAAATTAAAAAAAATTAAGATAACTATATATACCATTTTTTTTTTGTCTTTTTGAAACAGGGTCTTGCTATGCAGTTTGTTTGTTTATTTATTTATTTATTTATTTATTTATTTATTTATTTGCAGAACTGGGGATTGCTATGCAGTTTAGGCTGGCCTTGGGCTCACTTTGTAGCCCAGGCTGGTCTCTAACTTGCAATGATCCTCCTGCCTCAGTCTCCCAAGTGCTGCGATTACAGGCTTTCCCCACTACACCCAGCTATATATACTTTATACCACCTGGCTTTTATATTGTACTATAGCTATATGGGAGAAATCTCCTGAAGGACAATGGGTACCTCTCTGTACTGTATCTTCAACTTCCTGTGAGTCTTCAATGATTTCAAAATAACAAAGCTTTTTTAATTGTGGAGAAAAATTCAGGTGTACATAAAGATTTAGATACAATAGCACAGGAAAAAGCTAGAAACAACTTGAAATACATTGGTTTGTGCAAGTCTAATTATGTTGTCTCCATGCTCAAAGCCAACAGCAACAAAAAAGATGAATAAAAGCATATAAATACGAAAAACATAGAGGAACAGCATAAGATCATGGCAACCTAGAGAAAAAAGGGGGGGGGGGGGACCTGAGGTAGAGGAGGAGGAGGGGAAGGGGAAGGCCAATCTGTGTTACCTGATAAAACTCCAATGTACAGGGTGGCAGCAGACAGGTAGGAGAAGAGGGATGGCTAAAAAGGAGTCAACGGAACTGTACACGGAAGCTGGCATTCGCTACTACACACAGCACACAGATGCATGTTTATCTTGCAGGGGGAAATAAGCTACTTGTTCCTTGAAGAAAATGAACAAATCTAGAAAGAATGAAGTTAGATATAGTTGCCCAGGGTATAGTGTTCCAGATTCTGGTATACAGAAGCCAACATCTCAGCCAGCTGCCTAACCGCCCGTTTCAAGGGACACAGAGCTTTCAATCAGGTCTGCGATGTCTCATCCATAAATAAGACAGGTCACAAAGCACTATTAAACACTGGCAAGCTTACAATCCCCAAAATGAGATAATCAACAGAAAAACTGACGCTGGAGAGGGACACATTCATGAAGACAAACCTTGGTGAGGAAAGGGGAAGTAAAAAGAATTAAAATGTGCTATGCCCAGGTATGAACTCATCACTGTGAATATGATTATATACTGCAAACATGTGCTAGTGAAAAATTTAAGAAATTAGAAAAACACAAATTTTAGAAGCAATTAACATGAATGGAGAAATTTTAAGGACTTTTTTTTTTTTTTTCTCCTTGAATGCCTTCAGGGCACTTTTGCACGGCTGAAGTGTTGTGGGGATCC